TGGTAACGGTGGCGGAGGTGGAGGAAAAAGAAGAGGAAGTAAAAGCAAGCGAAGCGTACGAATTTCTAATCCGTGCGAGATAAAAAAAAAATCGAACGAGTACAAGTGGAAGTAGAAGAAGAAGGAGAGGCAAAGGTGGAAGCGAAAGAAGAGGACGGAGGCAAAATAGGCGCGACCTTCGCAGCGAGGAAACGAACGGAGAAAAAATTGGCAAGGCGTAAGAACCATGAAGTCGAGTATCTGATAGTTGGTTCGGCGAGGAAGGCCCATCGTAACTGATCCGACTAAAGGGTGACCTTGAGCAAGATGGTCAGGAGGGCGCTACTACTATTCTCGCTGTTCCTTCTCGGTGCCTTCGATGCTCCCGGCATCGAGAGAGCCCGCGTCAGATATCTGGTGATGGCCGGTAACACCTGTAACACTTGCAGGATGCACGAGGAGATCAGAGCACTCAGCCTCGAAGCCATCAAAGAACAGATACTGAACAAGCTTGGCTTGAAACAAGCACCGAATATGACGGGCAGAGCTTTGCCGAGAATTCCACCGATTTCCAAGCTGATGGACATGTACGGGATGCAGGCCGATCAACCGCAGCCCCTCGAGCCCGGTATCACCCACCACGAGGAGATCGACGAATACGCTGCCAAGACGGAGAGCGTATTTGCTCTGGCGCAACCTCGTAAGTTTTCGATAATTACCCTTTACTCTCTCTCTCTCTCTCTCTCTCTCTCTCTTTCTCTCTCTTTCTCATACACGCTCTCTCACATTCCCCTTCTTCCTCTTTCTCTTTCTAGCAAGCGTTTTCGCGCCGGATCGAAAATTAGTTGGCAGGAGACGCGACCGCGTCGATTTTCCCGCGATGTCGCGTTTGTATCGCGTCGTCGCGGCAACGAAATACCTCTTCCGAGTCGCGAGCGCGTTTACGAATAACGATCGTCCCGACGATAAAACCTCTTACGTTGCAGCTGCCGTGTTTTTCCTTGGCAACGCCAACCGAATTAACCTTTACCACCCGTGCAAGCTCGACATGCTCGTTACACCGCAGTTTGCAACATTGTCGTTTCAATTGATACGCACTCGGTTGCAAACGAACGTACGATTAAATTGAAACGATAATTATATAACGCGTTCGTGACTTTGTCTCCATCGACGGCAGTTAACCGACGAGACCGATAACAAGGTTTCGCTCGACGTACGAAGGAAGAATCTCGATCGTAGCAAATTCGTACCTTTTCGTCGAGGGCCGAAAGGTATTTCAGGCTTCCTGCGGGCATCGATTTGAAATTCGATCTTGCCTTCAGGCTTCGACTAGTTAGTCGCGAAGCAACGATAATGGCCCTTATTATCGGATCACCTAGCGTCTCGAGAGCGTAATTGCTCCGTGCAACAGGGCACCGTTCTCGAAAAACTTCGATCGAATCGTTTCGGAATCGCAAAAACGCAACTATTTTGCACTCGGTTACAGGAATCTGCATCAGCCAAAGAAGCTAAAATGTTGTTAGCCAGGAGTTACGATCTCGGGGCTATTTTATCTTCGACGCTTTCAACGTAAACGACCCCGTAATAGTCACGTTGCGCCGGTAACCCGTGTTTAAGTCATCTCGGATCCGAACAAAATGAAGGGCTCGTTACCGAGGAAAATCAACTATCCGATAGAACCGATCGAACCCGGTAATTTCGCAAATAACCTTACATTTAATATTCCGTTTATCTACGAGCATCGTTTGACAAGCCTCGCGACAGATTCTTTCATCGAACGGCCGATCGCGTGATCGACGATACTTATCGACGCTTTATTACTCTCGCGGTATCCGCGTAATTATAGGGGGCACTCGTTAAATTTCTCTATAGAAATCGTTATCAGTTAAGGAGCCATTTTTCGTTAGCGGACGATCTTCCACGGAAATTTCTCCTTTCGTTTCGCGTTACGGTATTCTTAACCTCTTCCCGTGCTTTGAGTATCACTCGTGACGCATTTACACCTCAAATCTTACTCAAACTTTGAATACTCGACTTTGAAATTTAGGTTCAACCATAAGTTGCATTATCAAGGATCTGAATATAAAATACTCAGAAAATTTTCTTTGTTCGTTTTAATGTTACAGCCCTGAATAGTCTTGGCTGATAAATAAATGGGAAGGGGTTAATTCTCGAGTTTAAACCACAATTCGATGAAGCATACCTATAAGTCGATTCGACGCTCGATTTATAACACCCGAGATAACGACGGCTAAAAGCGACTAAGTTTCGAAAGTTAAGTTATCGCGAAGATTAGCGGACAAGTTCAGTGCAAAAATAAATAACCGATATAAGTATATTCTATTGTAAGGTAAGGAAGCTACAATTTCTACCAAGGGAACCACGAATATAGTAGAGGGTTATCGCCTAGGGCGACCTATATCGCCCAACGTCTGAAGTTGCAGGATCATCTCTGGTATTCGCTCGTGCAATCTTTTTCGTCTTTCTTTCCTCTTCTCCTTCACCTACCACCACTCCCCTTCTCTTCCTATGCTTCGAATTCCCCGTTCGCTTCTTTTTCTGCTTCGGACCACATTCCTTCTCTTTCACCCAGTTTTCTTTCTTTGCATTTCCGCGCCGATTCTCTTTCATTTTTGCAATGACACTTTTTTCTCCATATTCATTTTCTTTTTTATTAGGTTACATATTGAGAATTTTATTTTTCTGATACATTTGTATATTTCATTTTTCTGATACATCTGTATATTTAATTTTTCTGATACATTTGTATATTTAATTTTTCCGATACATCTGCATATTTAATTATTCTGATACATGTATTACATTGAATTTTTCTGATACATTTGTATATTTAATTTTTCTGATACATGTATTATATTCAATTTTTCTGATACATTTGTATATTTAATTTTTCTGATACTTTTGTATTATATTTAATTTTTCTGATACATCTGTATATTTAATTTTTCTGATACATATGTATATTTAATTTTTCTGATACATGTATTACATTGAATTTTTCTGATACATTTGTATGAATGAAAGGGGCTATGGGCTCGGAGGTGCATCTCGCAAGAAATAATCGGAGTTGCTGACGGCGGTTTCGTATTTTTGCGCGGAATTTCGAATGACGAGGTTACGATTCGTCACGTTCGTACGAATTTCCAGCGGTACTTGGGAACGGTGAACCAGGCTGCTCCGTTGGTAAGGTCACGGTCGGTGCATAGCCTAGGTCAGGCCCATCGCTCGTTATCGCGTTAAACTCGATGGTCCGCCGAAACCGTTTTCGGTCTATCACGCGTTTCTCCGAACCGTTTATGCGGAAATAATCGTCAAGTCCTCTCACGATCGTTCCCGAAATACCGAGGCTATTTGAATGGTGTCCACATTTTACCGATGTTACCGAAGCGTCGCATTCCTGTATATTTTGCTATTCCGATCGGCAACGTCACTAAGAATGTGTCGTGTAATTTCGCGCGATAATAACTCACACGAGGTGTTTCTATCTTTAAACGTCTATCTCGGTGACATTAATTTCGATCGGTATACTCGAACACGGATCTATTAGTCGTCGTATAATAACAGCAGGGACGGTGGAACTGCGGTCAGCATCGGAGACAGGCGCCATACTATCAGTGATTCTCAATTCGCTCGAACGGAGGACCCTTCTGTTATCTATTTCGTCTGTTTATCGGTTAGCATCTCGTTTATCGCGTGGAGCGGATCGGAGTTCAGGTAACAGATTCGCGACGAGGTGCTACGATGCGAAACTGCGAGCGTATATTTCGTACTTGATCGAGGATCTAGTTCGATACGCGAGCGGTATCATCGAATCGATCGGGCGGTATCGTCGATCCGGAGAACCAGTTTGTCGTGTTCCCGGCTCTCTCGCAGGCTCGCAGGTATTAACGCGCGGCGAATATCGGTGTTACGTTGCAACGCTATTGCTGCTCGCGTTTAAGGACTACTAGGGTTACATAACAATTCGATGGGTATTATCTCGTTGGTTAGACGCGTGCTTACAATATTAGATCGGCGCCAAACGGTGTCGCGTTACCGCTACCTTACGCGGATTCTCATTTCATCTCGCAACGGGAACCCTCGTTTCGTTACCGAATCTTCGATATCGGAAGCGTCCGAACGGTCGCGGTTTCTTCGCTCCCCTTTTCGATTCGCGTTGTACGATACTTGTTTCTTTACAGGGTGGGGAGAGAGAGAGAACGATCGATGAAACGAGAGAAGAGGCGTTTCCGCGCGTTCCTTCTATCCCCTGTCCTAGCGGTGTTTGAAAAGGGGTGCCCGAACGCACGCGATACTTTAGCCAGGTACGCTAGGGCCTTTTCGACGAGCGAAAGAAAGGAAGGAAGGAAGCAAGGGAAGTTAAGATTACGGGGCGAGAGTCGGGGATTCGTAAGGCGAGGGAGGTTGAGAGTATGGAAGAGAGGGAAGGCGCGTGACCCAAATGCGAATTTTATCGAGTTACGCCGTTATGCTGTCGAAGTGCAGTCGCAATTGCAAGGCGGCTTCGTCACGCGATGCAAATTACTCGGGGGCGGCAGTTTTTACGTCCGGTTTTACCGTGAACGCGGTCCCTTCGGCCCGATCTCGGCACCCCTTTCGCTTACCGGAAACGCGATAACTCCTCGCAGATACGTGACGAATTTTCCCGGTTATCGTCGATCGTAGATCCTCGATCGCGTCATATTCGGTGTCGTAACGATCGTGTCGTTCGTGTGCCGCGCGGAAACCGCGGTTTCGTTCATTTTACTGGCTGTTGGCAACCACTCGGATCCGAACGTTCACGCGAAACGAACCGCACGAAACGAACCGACGATCGTTCGATGCGTCACGGGAATCACGCGAGCCCATGCGATTCTCGCTTTCTACGAATGCTTTTTTTTTATTCATTTTACACGGAGAGAAACCGCAAAAATAAAACGAGATTCTCGTTCGGAGATCAACCCCTATACACAATACAGTTTACCCTCTCTTTTTCATACTTTACATTTCATTTACTACTTTGTCTATGAGTCTTTTACTATCCGAGTTCTTACAGAGGTGCACATCGTTAAAACCATCTACATGGCTTGATGACTATGATTTTGTGTAGTTATCAAAAGTTTAGAGTTTATTTAGGAAATTTCTTGAAAATTCGATTTAATTCAAGGCTGGTATCGTTCATTACATCAAACCATCTATATATCTTAATTACCATGATTTTGTTTAGTTATCAAATTTAGCTTTGACTTTATTCATAAAATTTCTTGAAACTTCAATTAAATGCAAGGCACGATATTTGAACAGCGTAAGAGAACATAACATTGTGTACAAATTCGAGGTACATTTTTAATCACAAGATAAATTCGCAGAAAAGGCAATAAGGTTATAGAATTACTCTAAAAAAAAGAACGAATGTTGCTCATTCTGTTATTGCTTATTGTTATAGAGTATGTCCGTATCAATATTAGAAGTTATGTGAATGAAAATTGTGGATAAAGTAGTGTTTACTTTGTCGTGCACTTTTGAACTTGAGCGTCGGAACCATCTTAAATTTCTAGCAGACAAGTTTGATCGCATCGAGCACCGAGCCGTCGCTAGACGATTCGTCGCGCGATATTTTTAAACGTCGTCGCCCTTAGGACGACGGCTGACCGTGCCGAAGAGCGAAAGAACCGAACGATAGCGGTGAAAAGTGCATCGAGGATAGACACGCGCGACGAGGGGAACGGAGGTCGTGCGGTATCAATTATTTCTTCGTTTATTTATAGGCAGGGCCACGACACCGCGGTATCACCGTTGTTTTCCATCATTTCCACTCGTTCGATTCGCTTTCCCTTTCTCGTATTTCATGGCGAATTCGCAAAAGTCTCCCAAGAAAATTCCTGTCGCCGTCGGTGTTCTTTTTCGAATTCTCGAACACGTGTACCAGGTACCCCTGTACGAAAGCGTCTAAGACGTAAGAAAACGTTTTGGTAGTATAGTCGAGCAATGCGAGTGACCTCCGTTCGCTAAAACTATATTTATCTCAAGCTTCGAAGCACGGTGTACTTGGTGCTTTAGCTTTGTTGTCTCTCCTCCTCTTTCCCCGTCACCGTGTCTCCCTCTCTCTGTTTCGTACCGCGTATTTTCTTTCTCTTTTTTCTTTCTCGCATCCTTTCGCCTCTTTCTTCCTCCGCCGCTGCTCGCTCTACGCGTTTATTCGCGTCCGTTAGGAGCGGTAAAATTCGCGCGCGCGTTACGTCGCTTCTCGAGCCGATCAAAGTCTCCGGACAAGGGTATCGTTGTCCCGACTCGTTTCCCTCCGAATTCCACCACTTTTGCCCCTCTTTTTGCCGGGAATCGGTGATTCCCTGGGCGCGGCGTTAAACGTAGTTTTAATCTCGTTTGCGCCAGACGGCCGGTAGTCGGGTCTGGACGAAAATAAAATTGCCATCCTTCTGTCTGGCCACTCTTTCCATCCACCGCTTTTCGACGCGCCTGACTCATCGTCCCTAAACGACAAAGAAGAACCGCCGGTGAAAACGAGAGTAAAACGCCGTTTTCTCCCTCTGATCATCCTCGCGATTAACCCCTTGCACTATCATTTATTTGTTAGCTGCGTCAGTCAAAACTGTCTAACTTCAGCTACAATATTAACCGTCTAACTACAGCTATATGTTAACTAAACCTACCGGAATTAATTCGAAACTGAAAATGAAGTTAAAAATAAATAAACAACCGATGAAACATAAATTAGTACACATTTATTCTTTATCTTGAAAATCAATTCTGATTTCAAGAAATGTAACTTTAACAAAATATGTAGCTTATAATAAGAAACTTGTGGAGCGGTCATTTGACAGTTTTAGTGTTAAAACAGACAAAAGAATTGAAATGTTATGTCAATATCTTATTATTCAATCGTTGACTATGCGAATTATAATTGGACTCCAAATTGAAGCGTATTAACCCCTTGTACTATTACTTATTTGTCAGGTGCGTCAGTCAGAACTGTCCAATTAAACTATAACATTAAAATAGACAAAAAAATTGAAATTTTATTTTAACATGTTATTATTCAATCGTCGATGCAAATTGACTTGAACTCCAAATTGAAGCGTATTAAAAATTTGAGTAAAATAGATCAGGGTTGAGGTACGAGTCAGACTCGTCAAAATATAGCAAGGGGTTAAACCCGTGTCGAAACAGATTGTTGGATAGCGAATTGCAGCGAATCGATTAAAATCCGATCGGGAAGATATGGTAAATTAAGTTCGAAGTCCTCGGAGAAAGACGCGGATGTCAGGAGGTGGTTGCGTGGCAGAGAGAAAGGCAAACGGGACGCGATATTCCGAACGGCAATTACCGGCGATAAATCGATTTAAAGAGGGGCTTGGCTGGGTGGACGGATTACCGGCAACGGTAATTGCTCGACTCCGTGACAGAGCGTGAAACGTGGAAATCCGATGGGACGCGAAGAGAATAGAAAATGCGGATCGAAAATAGAGGCGACCGCCAGAGGAAGGGGAATTACCGATAAGCAATTATCTCGGGATGTCGCCGGAAATTAGACGTACGCGCGACGCGGTGCATGACAGTGACAGCGATAATGATACCGATAACGATAACGATGCTGCTACTCGAACGAACGATCTCCCGCCGCGTCGGCCGTAATAATTAAACGAGTCTTCCCCGTAACATCGCGCACGGCAATTAGCCGCCGTTACGGTGCAACGACGATGTCATCTTTGAGGGTTCCAATCTGAGAATTACCATTTTCGGGAAAACTACCGCGACGAAAAAGGGAAGCTAACTCGAATACGACGAGTCCGGGTTAGAAGACAGCGTATCGAGAAGGTCACCGATTGATCGTCCAGAGAAAAACGTAGTCGGACGTAACGGTACGATTTAAGGTTACTTTACCCTTCATGGAAGCGGTCTCGACGAGCGATGACCCGAATAGAGTCGCGGCTAACGTTCCCCGCATAAACTCGTCCCACCTTTTTTTTCTCTTTTCCGCGTATCACGGTTTCCGTTGCATCGTTGACTATGCGAATTATAATTGGACTCCAAATTGAAGCGTATTAACCCCTTGTACTATTACTTATTTGTCAGGTGCGTCAGTCAGAACTGTCCAATTAAACTATAACATTAAAATAGACAAAAAAATTGAAATTTTATTTTAACATGTTATTATTCAATCGTCGATGCAAATTGACTTGAACTCCAAATTGAAGCGTATTAAAAATTTGAGTAAAATAGATCAGGGTTGAGGTACGAGTCAGACTCGTCAAAATATAGCAAGGGGTTAAACCCGTGTCGAAACAGATTGTTGGATAGCGAATTGCAGCGAATCGATTAAAATCCGATCGGGAAGATATGGTAAATTAAGTTCGAAGTCCTCGGAGAAAGACGCGGATGTCAGGAGGTGGTTGCGTGGCAGAGAGAAAGGCAAACGGGACGCGATATTCCGAACGGCAATTACCGGCGATAAATCGATTTAAAGAGGGGCTTGGCTGGGTGGACGGATTACCGGCAACGGTAATTGCTCGACTCCGTGACAGAGCGTGAAACGTGGAAATCCGATGGGACGCGAAGAGAATAGAAAATGCGGATCGAAAATAGAGGCGACCGCCAGAGGAAGGGGAATTACCGATAAGCAATTATCTCGGGATGTCGCCGGAAATTAGACGTACGCGCGACGCGGTGCATGACAGTGACAGCGATAATGATACCGATAACGATAACGATGCTGCTACTCGAACGAACGATCTCCCGCCGCGTCGGCCGTAATAATTAAACGAGTCTTCCCCGTAACATCGCGCACGGCAATTAGCCGCCGTTACGGTGCAACGACGATGTCATCTTTGAGGGTTCCAATCTGAGAATTACCATTTTCGGGAAAACTACCGCGACGAAAAAGGGAAGCTAACTCGAATACGACGAGTCCGGGTTAGAAGACAGCGTATCGAGAAGGTCACCGATTGATCGTCCAGAGAAAAACGTAGTCGGACGTAACGGTACGATTTAAGGTTACTTTACCCTTCATGGAAGCGGTCTCGACGAGCGATGACCCGAATAGAGTCGCGGCTAACGTTCCCCGCATAAACTCGTCCCACCTTTTTTTTCTCTTTTCCGCGTATCACGGTTTCCGTTGCATCGACGACTAACGTCTTTCGCGGAACACCGACGCCGCGGTGTTCCCGGGGCAAATGGACGCACGTGCGCGCTCGCAAAGGTCTTCGTACTTGTCAGCGGCAAGAAACTCGCGGTTACTTCTCCGGTTGTTCTTGATTTATTGACAATCTCCTCGATCACGGAACCTTGTTCGGTATCGATCGTCCCATTCGTCATCGTTTCTTCTCCATCATTTTTCAACGAATCCTCCGCTTTCCAGATCAGAGGCTAAGGCACTCGAAGGGCAGCCTGGACGTGCTTTACTTTAAATTCTCCGACAAAGTGGTGCAGCACCGCGTCACCAGGGCGGAGTTGTCTCTGTGGATATGGGGCACGGAGGACGGCTCCGAGGACGCGGACGAACCGGTGGAGGACGCGGAGAGCGCCGAGGACGAGGGTCCCGTCACGATCACCTTGCAGAGGATCGTTCGCGGCGGCACCGAAACCGGAGGACCCTCCCTGGGACCACCCTTGACCACCAAACATCCTCGACCCATCGGTCGCAAAGGTAACTGGGTAACGATCGAGCTCAGGAGAATGGTGGCCGAGTGGTTCAAACACCCGAGAGACAATCTGGGGGTGGCGCTCAAGATATCCGGACCCGGTGGCAATCATCGTAGAAACTCGAAACTGGTCGAGACTAACCCTGCGGCCGAGTACGCGCCGTACCTAGAAGTACAGACGCAAGAACTCGACTCGAGAAGGGGCGCCAGGATCAAGAGGAACGTAGGACTCAATTGCGACGAGGCCAGCCAAGAGACCAGGTGCTGTCGCTACAAGCTCACTGTGGACTTTGAGAAGTTTGGATGGGATTGGATCATCGCACCCAAGAAGTAAGTTCCTTTATTTTCTTTGTTTCTTCAAATGAAACTTCATGAAACACGACCTAACGACAGTTCGCTGTGACCAACTATATTGCTTTAGTCTATCATAGTATTGTTAGCGTCCTCCAGGGTTGATTTTGAAATATCTTTATTTCTTGAAACGAAACTTCATGAAAAGTATCTAGTGCACGACTTAAGATCTAAGAATTCAGACAGACAGATTGCTGTGACCAACTATATTGCTTTAGTCCATCATAGTATTGTTAGCACCCTCCAGGGTTGATCTTGAAATATCTTTATTTCTTGAAACGAAACTTCATGAAAACTAATGCACGAAGATCTAAGACCAACTTTGCTTTAGTCCATCATCCTCCATCTTCCATTTAGCATCCTCCATCTTGTATGAAATTTCGTGTGAGTTTTGTCTAACGATGAAGGTAAACGCGTTGCGATTTTGTACCCCAGGTACGACGCCAATTACTGTTCGGGCGATTGTCCGATGGCCTTTCTGCCAGCGTATCCAAACACCCACATCGTCAGCCTGGCGGAGCCACCGAACAACTCTGGTCCGTGCTGCGCCCCGAGGAAACTGTCGGAGATCACGATGCTGTACTTCGACAACGAGTATCAGATCGTCTTCTCGCGGTTGCCGGGCATGGTCGTCGAGAGATGCGGATGCTCATAGTCCACCTTTCGGTTCGAGAATAGCGACGCCGAGGAAGACACCGAAGAAGCCGAGGAAGGAGCTATCTTCGATCGTGCTTTTCTTTCTATCGTTTTCCTTATTTTTTTAAGAGCGCTGCTCGATCGGTGTCGTTGCGCGATCCTCGACGGTTCGATGGACTAAACAGTGCCTTGTTTCGGGTGTCTCGAGTGTGCGAACTTGCATTCACCGGCACAACGGTCGGCAACGACGCGAAAGGACAATGATCGGAAGTTTGGAGCGTCCATTCTTCCGCCTAGTAATATTAGCAAGACATTTTGAAAGTCTATAGGTCCATGATAAGGCGGATAGTTCCTAGAGTCACGGTATTATTATTAAGACGTCGATGCGTTTGCACCTGATCTATGAGAACGACCGCGAAACAACCTATTTTTTATATGGGAACCTATCGCATCGAGTTTCTCGGATACCGTTTTCGACAATCGATCTTTTACCGAGTTAGAATTTTTACGAGTCGCGCGAAACCGAAGCAAACGTTTTATCGCGATGTTCCCTCGCGCATTCGACGCGAGAATACGAAACGATTTTGGTAGTCGTTGCTGATCGGTGGAAACGCGTTGGCTACGAGATCTCGGTGTACAGTGAATCGTTATTTTTTTTCTTTTCTTCCCCTTCTCGTCTTTGCGCTCCATTTCCGTTTTTTCTCGACGATAGTACGCGAGTACTTTATCTCTGTCTTTTAAGGATTTTAGGACAGCGAGGCTCCGTGTAAATACCAAGCTTTCCAACCGATCTTCGCGAATCTCCACCGAGAGAATCGCGAGGATTTCACTTGTAAAACGCGTATCTTTAAGTGTATCGAATCGGCGATTAGCATCGCAAAATATTACCCGAAGGTGTCACCGTCCGATACGTTCGGACTAACATTTTTCACGCGAAAGTACTCTTTAGAAAGAATAAGGTTGTTCTCCAGCCGCGATTCGGTAAATTATGGTAGTGTCGTTGTGATATCTAGCTGCTTGGCTCTGTGTAACGCCGATCGGATGAGCATACCATTGTTTATAAGCTTTCCGAGTCTCTCTCTCTCTCTCTTCGTACGTGTTGAGAATCTATCGTAACCTTTATGGAGACGCAAACGTCTTTTTATTCCTTTTCCTCGCAAAATTTCACGATCCGAAAGCGATGTTTTCGTTTGAAAATCTCGTGAAAATTTGTACGTCCTTTCCTTCCGTTTGTTTTTTCAACGTACCTATAATTAAAAAACACAAAAAAAAAATAACGAAATTGTGTACTTCCAGTATCCAAGGGCGGCGAATATTGCATACTTATACGTACATATACGTACACGTATACGCTAGCGCGCGAGTGGCGCGCACGTGCACATACACATGCATGCATCCACACACACAAACACACATACACATACACACGTACGGGCGCGCGCATAAAACGTGTACTTCCTAGGTAGAGAGTATTCATAGGATATTTATTCGCTGAAATAAATGGTTTTTTCGATGAATGGTGTGTCGATTTATTCCTTCGTAGAATTTTCGTTTATGTTTATTAGCGCACGGATATTTTAATCGGTCTCGATTAACGTTTAATCGAATGTTTCCTTTCTTCTCTGCTGCTCGCGATTAATCACGGTAAGAGTCACGCCGGCCATTCACCGCGATAAACTTTCGGCCCACGAGACGATTATTGTTTCGCTCATTTTCGGTAAGTTTAACTTTCCAGAATTTCGCAAGCCAGCAGAATCACCAAATTCACCAAATATTCGAACAATCGGTTTTTTGTGTCCACGCTTTTATCTCGGGTCAGAGCTCGAGTATGACCGATTATTTGTTGCGAATTTTTAACGTTTCCTCGAAACAGTTGCAAAGGTGCCTTATTCGCGTGCTTTCGGACATCTACGGTTTGTACACAGATCATTTTCCTTTCATTTTAACCCTTCGAGGTGACTCACCATTATATTTAACCCTTTGCACTGCTATGTCGAATGTGGCTCGACATTGGATCTCATAAATAATTCAGATAAATATCGAACGTGTATATTATCGTTTATATACTACTTGTAATAAAAGAAAAATATAGTTGTTACATACTCCACCCTGTTGCAATACATTTTATTGGGAACCCCTTTCTTGATCTATTTAGTAAATTAAGGAAGAAATTGTGGAGTGCAAAGGGTTAATACAATAATTTTAAATAAGCATTTTTTAACCGATTTTATAACATGACACGCGTGATAAACATAGCGAAATAAACAAGTGGAAATTATTAGTAAAGAAATAACCTCAAGAAAATTCATTTAACTTTTTAAAGTTGCTGTTTGTAAACAGTCAAATTACCTTCGAGTGCAAAGGGTTATCGTAATTAACAAGCCTGCTCCGAATCATCGCAAGGACGCAACTCGTATTTTCGAGGTAATGCATCGATAAATTTTGTCGACGAATCCGAAGCTGAGTTTCGCGCTAACCGCGCGAACGACAGGGAATGGCCTTCAGCGCGCGCGTGCTGCCACAGAAAATAAACGCCGACGTAACTATGTAGGTATGTAAGTAAATTGTTCGTAAAAGTTGATAACAACCGAGGGAAATTGCAACGCAATTTACGTATCGATGACTCCAATCGTTTACCTTTCGCTCAAGACGCTCAAGACATTTTATTGCCAATTCTCAACCTCTGACATTCGACTTCAAGAATCAGAAAACTTGGAGAAAACTAATTACTAGGAAAGAGTTTATGTAGCTTATATAGTTTATATAGTGCTTTATAAAGGATAATTATTAGGATCTTATTAGGATCATAGTCGCCAAGGGATATGGTGACGTTGGTGTCAAGGGCAAGGTTTTACACGTCTCAGAATTGCTTAAATCTTTGTATAATTTTACAGTTTACCTTTTCGGTCATTTTCCTGATTTTTCCTGTATGTTAAAAATTTAAATGTGAATGGCAAGAGTAGGCCATATGTAATTTATCAGAGTGCTTTCCTGGTTGCTAGGGAAAGTTTGAGGCTAAAGGATGAATACTCAAGGGCTATGGTGACGTTGATGTCAAGGGCAAAGTTTTGCCAAAGAGGTATTCTTTTGCTGACTGTGGTAACACGTCTCAGAATTGCTTAAATTTTTGTATAATTTTACAATTTACCTTTTGGGTCATTTTCTTAATTTTTCCTGTATGTTAAAAATTTAAATGTGAATGGCAAGAGTAGGCCATATGTAATTTATCAGAGTGCTTTCCTGGTTGCTAGGGAAAGTTTGGGGCTAAAGGATAATGTCGTCAAGGGCCATGACGTTGTCCTGACAGTCAAGGTTTAGCCGAAGAGACATTGCGTTTAACGCATCACGGAATAGACAGACTAAATCTTATAATTTTCCTGATTTTCCTATATTAGACAAATTGTAAGGAGCGTTTCCGCGGTCAAAGAGAACGAGATCTCTCTCGAGAAAGTAACCGCGTGCCTTTTTTATCTTCTTTTTATTATTACCACGCTCGCTGACCCAATATAGAAGGAGCTTTCTTCGTACGAGTTATTAGCGCGAAACGTAACAAACAATATCGGTTGAGAAACGATCGTAATTTTCCGTCGACTAAACGGTGGCGCAGATTCGTGTATCTCCAAATATTGTTTCCTACGCTTCTATCTTACGCCCGGTTTATCCATTGCGCTACGTGTTTGAAAGCGGTATCGGCCGCTTTGTTTCGTGGGCCACGTTATCGGTGTTTACCGAAAAACGAACAACAACATCCTGGCTTTTCCCGATTTCTTATTTTATTTGTGAAAGAGGCGATCGGCTCTGCATTGGTCCCCGAGAACAAAGCGAGATATGCATGTTCGTAACGCGATCTTGGATGCACAAGTGGACAAGTCAACCAGTTGACTTTACGGCAGTCAACTGTTTCGCCAGACGTGCCAATTCTCGTTTTATTGTTTTTCTTCGCTGCCGCCGCCGCCGAGCACTCGTCCTTGCCGACGGTCGGGTTACTGCTCCCCTTTCGCCGAAACGGAAACAAGAAAATACCGTCGACGCGACGGCAACCAATGCTTAAAACTAAACGTTTCGATTGCGTATCTATTCCGGTCAACATCGCGACAGATTCGATCTATCGGCTTTGACCGAGAAAGAATTCGATCGGACGAAAAGATGATATAATCGCCGAGGTGGCGACGGCAGATTGCTTTCAAGACGCGATCATGCTAATCGGAGTCGAAGTCGTGCATTCGGACGGTGGCAAAGAGGCTTTGATGCCAGTTGCCTGGCCATCAAGCCGAGTAGACGGCATGTACAGTCGTGAACAAATCTGGCTTCCCTGGGGGAAATAATATCGCAATCAGGGGGACGTCCTTCATTTTTATTTCACTCGAATATTCAGTTATCTTGAAAATTTCTGCACGTAGGAATTTCAGATATTTTGCACTTGGTGATTTATGTATTTTGGACTCTAGCAATTTTACGGTCAATTTTGTTCTGTTTCATTATATTCAATTTTGTTCAATTTCGTTATATTCAATTTTGTTCAATTTCTTTACATTCAGTTTTGTTCAATTTCATTACATTCGATTTTTCATTTTTATGACGTTGGAGTTTGTGGATCTTCAAGTTTGGGACATGAGATTTTCTGAACGTAGATATTTGTGGACCTTGAGATTTTGGGATCTAGAGATACAGTATAGAAATTTAGGAACGTAATCAGAATTTTTGAAGTCACAGAAATTAATTTGTAAGTTTATAAATTAAAAAATTGACAGAGTTCGAAGAAGTCTACATTAGTGTTTGTATATCTTCGAGTTTGGGATGTCAGAATTTTTAAGCACAGACATTTGATGACTTCAGAACTTGGATGTCTAAAAATTTATAAATCTAATTCGAGGATAGAGGATTAGAATTTTTTGAAGCCTCAGAAATTAATGAGTACAGAAAAAAAATTTGTAAATTCACAAATTAAAAAATTGCCAAAGTTTGAAGAACCCTACGTTGGAATTTATCTTCAAGTTTGGGATGTCAGAATTTTTAAGCACAGACATTTGAAGACTATAGGTTCGTATCTCTAGATAGTCGAAAAATGAAGAAACCTAATTTGAGGCTGAGAATTCTGAAGTCAGAGAAATTTGTATAGAAAAAAATTTGTGAATTAAAAGATCGACAAAGTTCGAAGAGGCCTCCGTTGCACTCGAGTGTACCGGACGAGACCGTGTGTTAATAATTTCGCGCTCGGAACAAGCGGCGATTGTCTTTGAGGGTAGCGTTCGCGTTTAGATCGTTAATTTCGAGGAAGCGTCGTTACAAGATCGTTTCATTTTCGTTGGGCTACCCCGATGATGATAAACGATTTCACCTTATCAATTTTTGACGCGAATAACGTTGAAGTGGTAATTACATGCCAATGGCAGTTGCCTACTTACGTTTTACGATTCGTTTAATGACTTAAGAAACCGCGCTATTAAATTTGCATTTTAAGAGAGTTGAAAGGCGACGTAATCGATAAAAGATAGAAGGAGGATGAAGACCATACCAAAGTCGAAGTTGGAATAAAGGCTTTAAAGTTTAAAGTCGAAGCAAACTCCGAAGGAACGCGATACGCGATACGCGATACGTATTCGGAGAAGGATACTCGAGGTTCTGGCAGGAGAAGCTTGGGGTTCGTTGTTCTAGAGTCTCGGATGAAGTGGGGCCTTCTCTTCAGCGTCAGGGTACGTCAACCTTGCGACTTTTCGCTAAGGGTTGAAGCACCGAAGGAGCGCAGCATCGCGCGACGCGAGGGATGCGTCCCAACGATAAAAGGGGATGTTTCTCAACCACGAACGAAAAAGTTCGAATTCTATTTTCTCGAAGGAGAAAATGGACTTGAATTACGCCACGTATTTCTAGCGCTCTTAGCTCCGCGCGAAATTTCTGTTTCGCACCTCGGACTCGATCGATCGGTCAATCGAAGCTCCGTGGAGTGCGAAGAAACGAGTCCTCGCGATCCATCTCGATCGATAGAAAGTGGAGTAGCGTTCTCGATTTGCTGGCGTTTCGCGAGCTTGTACGAAAGCGACGAAGCGCATTCGACGGCACCGGAACGAGTCGAGTCGACTCGATTCGAGTCTCGAGACGAGGCGAAGCGAAGGTAAAACGAGTCGAAGCGAGTCGGGTCGAGACGAGGCGAGGCGTAGCGGGGCGAGGCGAGGCGGGGCGAAGCGGGGTAAGCGCAATCCTTACGGTCCTCGATGGAGAAAGCCGAGTGACACTCGACTACGATCGAGATCGTCTGAAAATTCTAACGTCGTTTCGATGGAACAATAGAGGGACCTCCGAGCACTCGATAAATAGTCACATATCCGTGCGAGATACCGGCATCCCTTTCGACGCGAGTCCCTCAGCAGCCTTTTAATCTCGGTATACACGGGCCAAGAGAGAGGAGGCGCAGTGGCTGGCTACTTTATACTCGGAGGCTACCTGGCTGCCTGAAAGGGGAGGTATTACGGGGTTACTAAAGTGTTGTATGGCCTCCCCAAGCCCCATAAGGATAGCCCTCAGGCACGCACCCCCGTTATCGTATGCGTATGCAGTTTTTTCGCTGGTTCGTGCGTGGGACTCGCAGCCCTTATATGTGCAGTGAAGGTGAAGGGGGCATCGGGTAACACGGGCAGGCAGCCACCCAAACGACCGAAACCCGAATGTCGCCCGGGATCGTTCCGATATTCCTCTATACTCTAGGCCTTATTCGAAGGCACTCCTCTTTCTTATTTTCTTACTTGTTACCTCCTATTCGAACCTCCGTTCGCGTATTACTGCAGAGTCGACCGTTTCCGATACCGCGGACGCCCTCCGAGGCTGCTTTGCTTATTACCCTCTTCGATATCTTTTCTTTTCGTTACATTTCATTGCGTTTTTTATATTTATTACTATATTTTATATATTATCGTATATGTTATACTATATATTTATGTTTTATTTATGATATTTGTGATATATTTTTGTTGATCGCTTGTCGCGAAGCTTTGTCTTTGTTGCGAAGCTTTGCGGGGCTTCTTTCGAAAATGCAGGTAAACTCGACGATTTTTAAGTTCCTCCTTCAGATTTCTCAACTCTTTCATTCTTAGATTATTGGATTCCGGAATTTCTTCACCCTCAAATTTTATAAATTATCAAATTCCAAAATTCTTTATTTCCAAGTTGTTACACTACTTATTACACTGGTTTAACATCGCGTATAATGCAATTAACTGATAGAAGAGAAAAAATAGATGCAATACTCTACAGAATACAACAAATATCTAAGTGAGAATCGAACAAAGAGGAAGTAGAAATTTTACTTTATATCATTATGAGAAATCTTGTTTTGAATTTAAAGTTCATTATGATACTTTTTTCTTAAAGGACTGCATACATGGCTTGAGCCTTACACTTCAGGGAATTTATTAAAAAAGACAGTGATCAGTTTAATCCGCTGTTTCGTTTGTTATAATTGGTCGAAAATGTAGGATGCAAAGACAATATTATATTACAAAATTTTCATCGAGATAGGAACGTTGTTCAAGCTTGAAAAAGACGCGTCAGTGAGGGTGCACTAAACTGCAAAATTTTGTATTGAAAATATTTTTATGAATAATATTCTATGATTAATATAATGTTTCATTGACGTCGTCCGATTTTAGTAACTTATGTCAGATGTGTTATTAAGTATCTAATAAAACAGCAGAACAATATTTCACAGAATTTTTCTATTTAACCAAAATGCGTACAATAAATAAAACAGAAAAAGGAATGAAAATTTGAGAGTTTCGCGAAATGCAGCCTTAGCAATTGTAATTCCTGCGACATTGTAACCGTTTTAATGTGCCGTGGCGATTCGAGGGAACCCCGGTGGATCAAAGTTTAATCGGACAAGAAGGAAACGTCGACGCGTGACGGACCGATATCGATCAATCGTGCAGCGCGTGCACGGTAAAAAAGGCAGGAGGATACGAAAGGCTTTCGTGCAGCTCGGAATCCCGTTTTTTCGTCTCGAAGGGGTGCATAAATCGTGGAGTGCCGAATATTCCTCGTTATTTCTCGTTTTCTCCCTAGCCCGAGTCGTAACCAGCCCCGTCCGGCTCGACGCAGACCAACTTGCCTATTTATGCCGCGAAATTCCCGGAAGCAGAAGACGGATAGCATCGAAAGAGGAGTACCTATAATTTTCCCCCGATTCGTGATCGTCGACGCCGCCGACGCCGACTGCACGCACATCCGCGTTCGATCAAACTGTCCCGAACTTATTCCTTTTTCGAGCGCGTTCTTTCCACACGATAGCGTCTGGACAGCAAATACGATCGGCAGTTCTAGGAAGATAATATTTGCCTCGCTTGCGATCAACGGTCGAGACGACGGCCAGACAAGACAATGATAGATCAATCTAATTCGCATGCTCCCAGACGCGCGTCACGAACCAGCTCGCGACTCGTCTCGATCGCGTCTTCGTCTCGTCTCGTTCTCCCCACTCGATTCTCATCTATAGCTGTGTCACCGTTGTGGCCGTGATCTTTCTCGATTCAACGATAAACAACCCACGTTAAAACGTCTGATCAACAAGATCGAAAAATCGTCCCGCGAAACTTCTGCGAATCTCTGACCATCGACCGATTGTGATCCTTCAGGATCGCCTCGACGTTCGATAAGGCAGAAACCCCGGTTTCGTCGTGGATAAAGCAGGCTGCATTTGCTTTCGAGGCTGAATCGATCGCACCCCTTTGCGCACGCGATAATAAAACGGCTCGCAATTAGAGGCGACGGTCGATAGAGTTAGCGCTCCACGTTTTCGGAGCACGGTCACCTTCGAAATTTGCCGCCGTTTTGCGGTAGGTAAGAAGTCGACGAAAGAAACGAGACTAAAAGAAGCGATCCAGGTTGAGACCGCGGAACCTGTAACCACCCAAGAAGGCGGTTCCCCCTTTCTATCTGGTCGTATAACGAACATTGCTTCTCTTTTTTCGTTTCTCTCTTTTCGATCCTGTATTCAAGGTTACCGATGTCGGTGCGGGGCCGAGTCAGAGGAGCCTTTTACACCCGGGTTAGCTCGTTAAGTCTTAGTTTAAACGATCTCGGAGGAATAGATTTCGCTGGGTTCGATTACGAGCGTTTGACTAACCTCGATGCGTACGAAGGAGCAGATAACAGAGGGGTGGAGCGCCGGTACGTGTGTGCGTGCGAGACGCAGAGAAGAGAAAGAAGCCGAGGAAAGATTTTAGGAAAGATTACGACAAGGAAACGAAAGATTCTAGAAGAAAGTAAGGAAAGGAGATAGAAACCTTGGCTCGTAATAGGAGAAAAGACCGGCGCCTCTCGCAGCATCACCACGTGGCATGAGGCCAACTACCGTCTACTGATCAATATGCTTACAGCTACCTCGCTTCTCTTTCTATCTTTCTTTTCATCTCTTCCGCTGCTTTTCTACACCGTTCACCGCGAACCGCAAAAGTTATAGGCGCTATCGACGCGACGATTATTACGATTATTTTCCGAGATCGAACAAACAGAAATCCAAACTTCTAAGCCACGAGATTCTAATCCCGAGGCAGGAAATAGTGTACCACGTGATGCACGCTACCACGCGTGGACCACGTGGTTACCACCCTCCGCTGCAGGTTTCGAAAAGGAAGGAAAAAGGGAAACAACCCCCTGGGCTCCTAGACACGGGGGAAACAACCCCCTTGGCTCCTAGACACGGAGACTTTGGTGTCGACGAAATACATTTTCTTTGTACTTATAAGATGAATTTTTGCTGTAGATCTCGTGGAACACGTGGTCGAAGGTTATCCTGAAAGGGAAGAGGCTCCGAGTAGAGGCGTATCGAGAAAAGGCACGGAGCAAGTTGGAGACGTACAGGGGCCCGGCGGTTGTATAAAGTTATCGGGGAGTTTAGCCGGTTGTTGCGGTATCTATATCGTGGTGGGTGGGTGGATAGCGTTTCGTCGGTCGGTGGTGGTGTTGGCGGCGATGGTAGCGAGTGACGGCGGTGGTTACGGTGGCGATAGTGGTGGTGGTTGTACTACTGGTGGTGCTGGTGCTGGTGCTGCTGCTGCTGCTGCTGCTGCTGCTGCTGCTGCTGCTGCTGCTGCTGCTGCTGCTGCTGCTGCTGCTGCTGCTGCTGCTGCTGCTGCTGCTGCTGCTGCTGCTGCTGCTGCTGCTGCTGCTGCTGCTGCTGCTGCTGCTGCTGCTGCTGCTGCTGCTGCTGCTGCTGCTGCTGCTGCTGCTGCTGCTGCTGCTGCTGCTGCTGCTGCTGCTGCTGCTGCTGCTGCTGCTGCTGCTGCTGCTGCTGCTGCTGCTGCTGCTGCTGCTGCTGCTGCTGCTGCTGCTGCTGCTGCTGCTGCTGCTGCTGCTGCTGCTGCTGCTGCTGCTGCTGCTGCTGCTGCTGCTGCTGCTGCTGGCGGTGATGGTACGGCGGTGGT